AGGGTCTGGAGCACAGGGCTGGTGGGGAGCGGCTGAGGGAGCTGGGGGGGTTCAGCCTGGAGAAGAGGAGGCTGAGGGGAGACCTGATCGCTCTGCAGCTCCCGACAGGAGGGGGCGGGGAGAGGGTGTTGGGCTCTTCTCCCACAGAGTTAGTGGTAGGACGAGAGGAAATGGGCTCAAGTTGCACCAGAGGAGGTTTAGATTGGATAGTAGGAAACATTTCTTCATGGAAAGGGTGGTCAAGCATTGGAGCAGGCTGCCCAGAGAGGTGGGGGAGTCCCCATCCCTGGAGGGGTTCAAAAAATGGGCAGAGGTGGCACTCTGGGACATGGTTTAGTGGGCATGGGGGTGTTGGGTTGATGGTTGCACTGATGATCTTAGAGATCCTTTCCAATCTTAATGATTCCTAGTTCTTACTTTCATTATAAATGATCCAGCCATCAAGCCAGGAAACATGAAATTGCTACTCTCCCCTGAACTGGTTTAGTGGTGGACTTGGTAATGTTAGTTGAATGGTTGGAGTGGATGATCTTAAAGGTCTTTTCCAACCTAAACGATTCTATGATTCTATTTGCATACAAAAAATGCAGAGAACACGACGTCATTTTCCCGTTGAAGCGCTGTGTGATGCTGTATAGGCAAAGGGAGACACTGCAGAATAGCGTTAACCTGCTGTGGTAATACCGAACTGCTTTTTGGCTTCACTTCTGAATGATTTTTGTGTAAGTGCAGGGAAACACTTACCATGCTTTACAAAAGCATCGTGGATTGGTCAGTTTGTAATAAATGAGCAATAAAAACTCTGAAAATTTGGCTCCTCGGTGCCTGAAAAGCTGATTGAGAAAATCCTTAATACAAGCTCTTTCCTCTGTTGTAATTTTTCCTGTGAATTTCAGGTATATATACATGAATTACAGGTATATGTACACTTCTTAGGCATCTGCCCTTTTTTCTTTTTTTTTTCACCCAAATAAAGAGTATTCTCTCATCTGCTGTGCATTTCAAAAGGCACCAGTGCAGAACTAAACCCAACTGGGCAGATGTAATTTATTCCAGTTTTCTACCCCTAGTCATAGCACCAAGTGTTTATTTTGAGATGAGTAATGAGGTTAAGCATATTCAGATGCATGTGTGAGTTCATATCAAACCTAACATGTTTGATCGGTTAAAAATATGCAAGTTGTCTTTTACATTTTTCTTTAGAATTTGATGTGCTTGTTCAGTACATAAATGGACTGTATAAAATGTATCTTAATTTTCTTTATTGTTAAAAGAAGAAACCAATACTTAGAAATATACTTAATTTAAAAGTTACACTGTGTGCAGGCAACTGTACAGTGGCAAAAATCTAATAGACTGCTGTGAAGTCTGGGGGGTGTCAGTCTTTCTGAAGGAGTCAGTATCTTTGGACCTTCATCCTAAAATTGGCATCGTTTTTAGTTTATACTTTCCTCTGCTACTCTTGCTTGCTCACCTCAATGCCTTTTAATAAATGTTTGCATATTAAAAGCCTGATTCTGTTTATTTACATCCATTCCACCATTAGCCGTGGGAGATGGATGAGAGGAATTAAAGAGGGAGATCTTAGATTTGGTAGAGGGCCTAATATGTCTTAATACATTTTCAGTGGGCACCTATTTTATAGAATCATAGAATCATAGAATCATCTAGGTTGGAAAAGACCTTTAAGATCATCCAGTCCAACCATTAACCTACACTACCAAGCCCACTCTAGACTAATCAAGGGTAGACCAGACTAAACCATATCCCGAAGTGCCACCTCTGCCCGTTTTTTAAACGCCTCCAGGGATGGTGACTCCACCACCTCTCTGGGCAGCCTGTTCCAATGCCTGACCACCCTTTCCGTAAAGAAATTTTTCCTAATTTCCAGTCTAAACCTCCCCTGGCGCAGCTTAAGCCCATTTCCTCTCGTCCTATCGCTAGCTACTTGGGAGAAGAGACCAACACCCACCTCACTACAACCTCCTTTCAGGTAGTTGTAGAGAGCGATAAGGTCTCCCCTCAGCCTCCTCTTTTCCAGGCTAAACAACCCCAGTTCCCTCAGCCGCTCCTCATAAGACTTGTTCTCCAGACCCTTCACCAGCTTCGTTGCCCGCCTCTGAACACGCTCCAGCACCTCAATGTCTTTCTTGTAGTGAGGGGCCCAAAACTGGACACAGTATTCCAGGTGCGGCCTCACCAGCGCCGAGAACAGGGGGACAATCACCTCCCTGCTCCTGCTGATCCTTGATATCCTGTATTTAGACCCCGTTGAATTGAGTGTGGTTTATACATATGCCTAACGATAAGCGTAAGTTTAATGATCTCGGTACTGAATTGGAGGTAAGGAAATCCATTTGCGCTTTATTGAATTGGCATAAAATATTTGTAAACTATTGATTGTATCATAGTGTGAGGAATGTAAAATATCTCACTTACCATCACTGGAGTCAGGGCTTCTGAGATCCCAGTTCATTACTGAGGATACTGGTATTAGGATTTCACCTCTCATTTTGCTTCCAGAACAAAGTCTTCATTTACCGGGGAAAGGAGTACGAACGCCGCGAAGATTTTGAAGCAAGGTTATTGACGCAGTTTCCAAATGCAGAAAAAATGAAAACGACGTCTCCGCCAGGCGATGACATTAAAAACTCCTCCGGCCAGTGTATCCTTCGGTTGTACAGCGGCTCCCGCAGCCGCCGAGATCGGGGATTTACGGCCGACACGAGCAGGAGACTGTTGCACTTCTGCCTTTATGGGTGTAATACGTTAATTTGGTTGTTCTGTCCTTTCTCCGCGTTGCCATTGAGCTGCCTGTTCTGCGTGATTGAAATCCGTTTTTCAGTTCTTAACCCCTGAATTCAGATATTCAGTGCTTTACTGTAAAGCCAAAACTGGATTTACCGTCTAAATTTCACAGGCCAGTGTCAGAACAAATCGTCAGGTGAGTTTGAGTTGGTTTTGCAATTTTATCAGTCTCCTTTAGAACACTTAAACTAATTCTTCGTGTTGTGTAACAAATCTGTACACAGCCAAGGAGGGTAGTAACTGTGAGGACATTTCATGGGTGTTCTTAATATTAGCAGAGATTCCATCCAACCCACTGGAAAACAGTGATCCCCTAAGCATTTTATATTTATGCGTAACCTTTTTTTCTGGTACGAGAATTTAGCAGCAATTCCTAATCAGCTGGTATTTGATTTTGATTGTGCTTTTCCCTTTTTCCAGTTTCTATAGGGTGAATGAAGTCCAGCGGTTTGAGTATTCACGCCCTGTTCGAAAAGGAGAGAAAAACCCGGACAACGAATTTGCGGTAAAAAAAAAAAAAAAAGAAAATAGAGTACTTTGGTGTTTGCTTGTTTATTCCCCTTCATTTTGAGAATCGGAACCATTCATTATGTTTTGGTTGTTGAAAAATAAATTCTAGGCTTAAAAATGATTATTTTTCAGAGAAATTCAATCAAACCGATTTATCATTTTGTATATCGTTCTGTTTTATACCAATGGAAAAAATGGACAAAGCTGTATTTATTTTGTTAAAAACCAACTGTTTTGAGAAAGAAGTTTAAGTTTCAGGCTATACCTGAAAAGACAGATGTCTCTTGCCAAAACGTGTCTTGCCATGAAGATTCTAGTCAGGCATCTAAAAATCTTTTTGCAGTAATACCATACCTTTTTTTTTTTTAATAAACCACATGCTTCATCTAATGGTCAATAAAACTCCTTTTGAGCCCATCTTGTATTCATCAAAACATGTACAACTGGTTACATGAAGTTGATTGCCCTTTTTTTTTTTTTATAGACACCATTCTATTCACAGGGGTGAATAGACACTGTTATATCAAAAACTGCTAATTTGCTGATCTACGTGGGTTTAGCTGAGGAGGCAGGAAACCTTCTTCTTCTAAAACCATAATGCTAGAGAGTGCTACTGTTTACAATACGTTTTGAGTATAGATTTAAAAATTTAGATGTCTCTAAATCACTTTGAAAGCTCTTCTTCTGTTAATGGAGGATGGAATAAACAATTCTGTTTTAAAAAAGCCACACAATAAATAAGATGAACTACCAACATATACCAGTTCTAACAAAATCAGATCAAGAGATGTCTTTGACATCGCTTATGAACCAAATACACACGTGTGAAGGAAGAGGCGTTAAATCACGTATCCTTTAATTCAAACCAGTGGGGAGATATTACAACGAAGCCATTGCAGTTGACAGTTCAGATGAAATCAGAAATTCAGGTCAGGACCTGCAGGTCAGGATGGCACCTCGGGTCCAACCCCTGCCCCAGGCAGGGCCAGCTCCGGGGTCAGCCCCGGCTGCTCGGGGCTTTCCCCCAGCGGGTCTTGAAACCTGCGAGGATGGGGAGGGTGCAGCCTCCCCGGGGACCGGTCCCTCGGCTCCTCTGCCCTCCTGGGGAAGAAGCTTTCCCTATACCAAGATGTTGTGGTTTTGTGGGAGGTGGTCCTTGAAAGCTCTAGAAGTTATGTGGGACAAACGACAGTCCAGTAAGACAGGTGGATCTCCTACATAGTGTTCTCCTTTGGTAGGAGAGCTGTTGTTCTCTGCTAAATCATCTATCAGATTGAAATCGGCGCCGCTTCATCATCTCCCCAAGTGGATTCCATTTGAAATTCCCCCTTGGCTTCATAATGTCTGTCGTACTGCGGTTCCTTTTCCTGATGATAATGTGTTAAGGCTTCGCTTAAGATAAAAGCTATCGATCTGATAACGTGACGTTTATGTTGTATTTGCAGAATATGTGGATTGAGAGAACCATCTATGTGACGGCGTATAAATTGCCAGGGATTCTGAGGTGGTTTGAAGTCAAATCAGTTTTCATGGTAAGATCAGTTTGGCTTTATTGAGATTGCATAAAAGAACGGGGCTCTCATACAGCCAGGGAGCATTTATATTCCTGCGTGGCTCTGCTTCGGTTCTGTGAACAAGCAATCAGCGTGGCTGTAGCTGGCATCCTAAGACAAGGGACGGTGCTTGCTGAGGATGCTGATTATTGACTGAGGGTGACTCAGGCAGCGCTTTTTCCACTCCCGAGAGAAGGACTCGCGGGCTGACTCTTCCAGGTCTTTCGTGCAAAGTCCGATCAAGTGCTTGAAGTACTTTCAGAAAGTATTTCTGGCTTTCAGCAGGTGAGCCATTACAGCCTGCAGCGTAAGCCCTATGCCTGAAATGAAGAGGGACCTGAGGTGGTGTCGCAGGGGAACCCTGCTACATCAAAATGAATCTAGTCTGAATTTTGGAAAAGAGCATTTGGGTATTTTGATTGTAATTTATTCCCAATATACCATAAATCGAATGCCTTGTATGTGTCTGCATCTCTACTTATCATTTGTGATTAAAGGTTGTTTTTGTTTCTTCTCCGTAGTTAGCTAAAATATACCCCAGCAACCTCACGGAGTAACTCCAAATTACGCATTTCTCTGTTCTACCATTTAGACTGTTTAGATAAGACATATCCATTAAACGCCTTTAAGATTAAATTATTCTTACGCAGCTGTAATTTTTAAGTAGCAATAAAAACATTGTTACTGCAGTTTTTAAATCTCTCTTGTGAGGCTTAGTTTTAAAGGAAAAGAACAATTTGCATATGATTAATTAAAACCTTTCTCATTGCCCCATTGAGGTTATGTTGGACAGTTGTATTTAGATGAACAGAAGTAATGCAGAAAATTACTATGGTATCTATAGTAACAGAATATGAATGTGATGTTTGACAGTAATAGGCAGCTGAATAAAACACATTGAATTTTTAATGAATTTTGTATTTTCCATATAATCCTGATAGAGAAGATTGTATTTATCTTCATGATTGCAAAAAGTGTTGTTTATAAAGGCTGGCAAATCTGATGAAAATCTCTTTTCCTTATGAGTTAAGAGCACAGCCTGACAGGCTGCTTTATGCGGGCAATTTGTATACACGCACCTTTAACGCTATGCTTGTCATCGAAATGTGCATAAATCCTGGGAGAGTGCTTTCTGTAAGCTTTTTGCAAGTAAGGATTATATTAGTTGCATAGCTGAAAAATGATACCAGAATGGAACTTCATAATATGTGGGAAGACGGCAACAGATAACTTTTGACCTAGCTCTGGCATAGTTACTGCAAAATGGGTATTGACTTTCTTCAAGATTCCTGTCAGCTAAAATGCTGGAAGCACAATCACTAGGTTTACATCCCTGGAATGCTAAATTGTGATTATGGATAGAGATATTATTGATGTTTTACTAAACGCGATGAATTAAAGTAGCTTTGCACATTTTGTCTTTTATTGATGGAACTAGAATACCTTTAAAGGAAGAGGTGAGATCGTATCACATCAGTGCTGAGAGAGAACTGAGTAATTTAATAAATGCGGTGTATTATGTTACATAACCCGTAGGAACATGCATAATTTCCTTAAATCTATTTGCTTTTTAAATTCCTTCTGAGTACTTTTACCTAAACCTTCTCAATCTGTTCATTATCTGCAAGGAATTTGTTGTACACATTCATTATCTGTATCGGATTTGTTTTAGCTGGACACAAGTAGTTGTAGGGGGAAAATTTGCTGAGGCCAGCCCGTGAATTAGAAACTGGATTTTGAATTGTATTTGGGTTTAAGAAGTACAAATACTAATCTCTGTTCTGTTTTGATGTTTAATTTTTTCGTGTTGCAAATGTACCAGGAGTATATAATTTGTGTTTGCCATGAACAGATTGTGCAGTGTCCAGAGTTAGCAAGCTACTTGGAACAAGGCTCATAATTTGCAAGTACAGATATTTTTAATAAATAGCTTTCAGTAAGGTCCAAAGCACAGTTTATAGCAGTAGGATGGGAACTGCAGTCCTCCATCTGCTTTTAAAAAACTAGAGGGAGGATTATAAGAGTAGTAAAAGAAAGGAGAATGAGAAGGCAAGCCATGATTGCTGATAGAGAAAAGTCAAAAAGGATGTCTGTCAGCTCAATGAGTGCTAATTTCTGTCGATATTCAAGAGCTTTAAAAGCAATGGTTCATCCACAAATTATTGCATAGTTACAAGCCCATTAATACAAATAACAGAATCCTAAATTTAGCATGTGGTGTTTGCAACAGTTCTCGCTGAATCAGATGTTGAATATGGTCTTACTTTCCCTGTCCAAATTTCACTCGTAGCCCGTTCAGCTCTGAAGGGCGGTCGTCATCTGTCTGTCCGAGCCTGGTCTGCTCCACAGCCACAGCAGAAACGTTGGGCTCGTTACCTGCCTTCCAGAATAATTCGCCAGGCAGACTTCTTAAAATGCTAATTAAAACATCCTTGATGTAATCAGATGGCAGGTGTAAGAGTAACAACTAAAGAGATTTGATTATAAGTGGTTCTCAGAAACATGGTAAGCAACTGATAGCCAGGTAGAAGTGCTTCTTTGTTTATGTAGCATTTATGTAAATTAGGGTGTAATCAAATATACACTTGCATTTTCCTCACAGGCCTCAATTAACCGTCCTTTTCTATTCCTACCACATCATTTTTTAATGTAAGTAGGCTATGTCTTCCAGTAAGGACTGTCTACACTCTGGGTGGCTGCAAGTTAATAATTTTTAGCCCATTCGCTAAAGGTACATATTTTAGCAAGATTTTAAATATTTTAATACTGTATTTTTCAATATGAGCAACTGTCATTCTGAAAGATACAGTATCTGGTCATAAATAATAGTTGGAGACAAGTCAATTAAAATAAAGCAAGTTTAACACAGCGTAAGAGCTAATTCACCCCATGAAGACATCTGAGGAGCTCTCCTCATTGAAGTCCAGGCTATGTGAGAAAGAAAATCTCTTCCTTCATTTATCGACATTCAGATGAAGAAAACATGGCCTCGTGGGAAAAAGCACAGCAGATAGCTTAGAAGTCATCTCTTCAACATATTAAAGTCCATTTCCTTGGAAATGCACAAAATAATCACTGAAAAAATATCTTCTTGATTTTTGAGCTGCTTAGGATTACATTTTCCATCGGAAAATCCACATTAAGTTACCATTTCTTTCTTACTGCTACATTAAGCTGGATCTTCTTTGTACTGCTAAAACTCACCGACTCGTAATCTCTGATGTTCTCCATAATCCTCCAAAAACCTCACATGATTCCTGTCAGAGCCTTTCTAAACGTTGTGCTGTTGTGCTGAGATGTAATCCATCCTACAGCAGTGAGATGCATTTAACTTGCTCCGCCGATACTACCGTATCAGTTACCGCAGTGTATAGATACCAAATATTTAAGTGCCTGAAACCACGCTTTCCATTAATTACTGGTTAAAAGAGCTTTTGTTCTGAAATTCCTGAAATGTCTCTAATTGTGGTGGTTTGGTGGACAGCTAGTTCTGTGGCAGGTTAAGGACTCTGCTCCTTGATGAAAACCTCCTTTTGTTTTTATTTTAGGTTGAAATTAGTCCACTGGAAAATGCAATAGAAACCATGCAGCTAACAAATGATAAGATCAATAATATGGTTCAACAGCATTTAAATGATCCAAATCTACCCATTAACCCGCTCTCGATGCTACTTAACGGCATTGTGGATCCTGCGGTCATGGGAGGATTCACGAACTATGAGAAGGTAACGTCAAAATGATCTGTCCTGCAGTGCTTCACCTCTTGAGCCCGGACTCTCCTGGAATGCTGCCAGATGTGTGTGTTTAATGTCCTTCTGATAATATTTATGGATACATTTTTGCCTTTCTACATTTGAAGTAAGAGTTGATATGTTTAGTAGCAAGAGTACTGACAAAAGGACGTGGTGGACAGTTGCTTACTCGAGTTAGACACTGGGACTGACGACATTTCCCGGGTGTGCTCTGGTGCGCTTGGACATCGGAGCTTCAGTGACCAAAACAACTGATTGCAATTCTCTCCCTTGCTTTCCAATGCATGAGTTTTTAAAGGATTAATCAAATGGTAGAGACTTCTGAGATACCAATCAGTTGCAAGTATGTCTAAATAATCTTAACTGGCCGTTTACAGCATTAGCTTTTAAAGTTATATGGGATAAGATGTTAACATTGGGAAACTATAAACACTATTATTTATGTTGTGAATATTAATCATATTAAGCTAACATACACAAGCAACATGTATTTCATAACATAAATGGAGAAGGTCTGTGCTGACTGACATGTCGCTGTATCCATCCGTTTATGTCCTTCTGTAACTCTCACCCGTTTCATCTACCAAAATTTCTTATGCCCTGGGAGCTACTGCAAAGACATTTCAGAGATGTGCCAAGCAGAAGTCCTCTGCAGGGTTGCCCATGAGATTTGGTCTTGATGACCATATGCTCATCTGCCCGCTTCACTGCTCAGGAGAGATGGATGTCTTAATCTTAAAACACTGTAAAATCCTGTATCTCTTTCCTAGAATTTCGCTTTGTATTTGTAGCTATTACTGCTCTGTTGCAGAACTTTGGGGTTGATTGATTGATCTTTGCTATAGGTAATTCTTCCATGGGAGATGTTGATTCATTTTCTGAAACAACTGCTCATTTCTCTCTCTTGACTAGGCTTTTTTTACGGAAAAATACATGCACGAGCATCCAGAAGATCATGACAAGATTGAAAAACTAAAGGATCTGATCGCATGGCAGGTAAAAAATTTTAAGTCAGGTTGGTTGGGGCCAACTGCTGTACAAAGACAGTGTAGTGTCACCTTTGAGAAAATTCAGACATTAAACTATTCACCTTGTGTACACTTCTTTGGCATTTAACACTGTCTTGGAACTTGAGATGAAGTTCATCTTTTCAAATCAGACATCATTTGTCATTTGGTAAACCCTCAAGGAACAAACATGATCAACCTCTTTTTTTTTTTTTTTTGTAACCATAATACAGTGAAAATATCTCATCTGTATCAAATGAGAAAGTATTTTTAATAATGTTGGTTAGTATTATTGGCAATTTAGTTTCACATTTTAATTTTCTAATGCTGATTTCAGAAATTCTTCTCAGACAGTAATATGAAATGCTTCAGCCTGAATCCCTCCTCCTGCTTGAACGGACTGGGACAGTGTATCTTCACATACTCACTTCTTTCTTCAAACAACGCATTTTCCATTTATTAAACTTCCTGTGTATACTTATAGTGCCTTTTAGCACAGAATATTTAGATTGGATAGTAGGAAAAATTTCTTCATGGAAAGAGCGGTCAAGCATTGGAACAGGCTGCCCAGAGAGGTGGTGGAGTCCCCATCCCTGGAAGCGTTCAAAAAACAGGCCGAGGTGGCCCTTTGGGACATGGTTTAGTGGGCATGGGGGTGTTGGGTTGATGGTTGGACTGATGATCTTAGAGGTCCTTTCCAACCTTAATGATTCCTAGTTTTTACTTTCATTAAAAATAATCCAGCCACCAAGGCAGAAAATACAAAATTGCTACTCTCCCCTGAACTGGTTTAGTGGTGGACTTGGCAGTGTTAGGTTAATGGTTGGACTGGATGATCTTAAAGGTCTTTTCCAACCTAAATGATTCTATGATTCTATGATTGAATGCGAGAGTTGCAAAAATTAACTTGCATGCAAAATACTTAGTAAATTCATCGTTGTGAAACCTTTGCTTCATTTGCTGTATAAATTAACATGGTACAAAAACAATGATTCATAAAGAATGTGAAATTACCTGGTATTTTTATGATGACGTATTAGGGCAGAAATCATTTAAATGTAAGATCACATGGGTAATATTTCCCAAACTAGGAATGGAAGCCAGGTTTCCAGCCCAGTGCCTGAGACAAAGCAGGACCCCCCTCTTGCATGAAGAGCTGTGTTTACATGTACCAAAGGACATTTTTCAGGGCTAACAAGAAACAATTCCAATTTTGTTTCATAGTCAGATACCAGACATTTTGCAGTGGTCTCAAGATAATTTTATGATAACTAAAAAAATACCGATATGATTGGAAGAGTTTTTCCCCTAGAAGAAGAAAGTGCATCATTGTCTTTTTATATTCAATTTTGTCTTTATAATAAAGGAAATAATTTACATTTCTTTAGGTTTCAATCTTAGAGGTGGTAGGACCAAAGATACAGAATTAGGAAAACAAAAGTCCTCTGAAGACCATAAAACTATGACTGAGTAAAAGCTCTTTTAGTCTGCAAAAAGAGATATGTATTTATTTATTTATTTTCTTGTGAGCTTTTACAGACAATTAGATTTTAGGAGCTTTAAGTTTTTATAGAGGAAAATAATTTGATCCCAGAAGACTAACTTCATGGCAGCTCTCTGTCTTTGCCTCTGATAGCGATACTTCAAATGAATTGCAAACACACTTTTCCTCAGCAAAGCTTCAGTTTGGTGACATTTGTATATTAAAATAATATTACTATTTGAAAATAGGTATGGCAGCTAATCACATTGTACTTTAATTAGTCAGTTGTTTTAAATACATAATTTCCCATCAGTGTTGTAGTTCCGAAACAATAGGAACCAGAAAAATAGAGAAAAGGGATCAAAACCTATTTTTATACCTGAAAATTCTTTTTGCTACATGGTCTAGCCTCTTCATGGTGGAAATCAGTGCTTTTGAATTACCTTAGGCATTTGATACACATTGAGTGTATCCTAAGACATAAACCTCCTCTCAAATTATTTCAGCTTTTGGAACACTGGCAGCATAAGTAGATGGGAGCGGGGTGGGGAGCTGACTGCCAAATACCGGCTGGTGTCAGGAGAGGGAGTTGTTATGGAAACTTTGTGAAGTGAGGCAGTGGTCTGAATTCATCACGGGCTTGACAGTGATTGAAAGCAAAAATGAGTTTTCATTTTTCAATAATGTGGGGCTTGGATTTTTGTAATCACACGGAGATTTTCTTTATGCTGTATAAATCAATCTGGATAGATGAAATAGTACCCTGACAATCATATCATCAGCTGACTAGTTAAATTTAATTTTCTGTCTCCTTACCTTACCTTTTTCTCCACTGCACTATGGAATTCATGCTCTTCAGGATATTATCCTTCTATAATTCCTGTGAACTTTAAGTGTACAGGTTTTCTCGCCTATTATTTTTTCAGATAAACATCATTAGTAAAGCAATGGCTAGTTTTGTCCATCTTAGTGTTTTTTCAACTTAGAAAAAAATGCTTCCATGCAACTACATCATTTCAAGCCGATCTTTTATTTTAACATGAAGCTAATGAAATGATTGTTTTAAATGATGGTAGTGAAATGAATGATTGATGACATTAGCTTCTCTGCGTTTGGCTAATGTATTTACAGCATACCAAAACTAGTATATCACGTAAAAATCATGTGCTACTTCTACATAGCTGAAGGAATTCCGGCATACAAAACTAAGTTTTTGCGATCATATTTCATGATACCATTGTTATGAAAGATTTTCTTGGAAGATTTAAGATTTTGTATTAATTTTAGTAATTCAAATGTACGTAGCTTTTTCATTCTTTTCAGCCAAGCAGATCAAGATCTTTTTTAAAAAAAAGAGAAAAAAAATCAGGGAATAATTTTAAGTTGCAGTGAAACTCCAAAATTTTAAAATCAACAGAGATTAGAGTTATGGAATAAGTGCTGTCTTGAGCTGGTTTCCTTTCTCATTCAGCTCATTTGTTTCTCGTTCAGCTGCTTAAGTTACCTTTACTTTTTCATTCACCTCTCCAGAAGTGAGGGCACACTGTAGGGTCTTTTGAAATAGAGCCATAAGCAAACCCACCCATTGCTCCAAAGCGAAATGAATTGGCAATATCATGAATGTGGCAAAATTCTGCCTCTGTCATCCAACGAAGATTCATATAGGTTTAAAATTCAGTGTCACTCATCACCAGATTTCCCTGTGTCAATGCCTGGGAAGGAGAGTTAGGAAGAATTTTGAAGTTAGTAGAAGGCAGCAAAGCAGAAATGGTAACAGTCTGAATGTACTTTCTTTCTGTACTTGATAAACATTTAAAGGATTCAGTGGTCTTGGACAGGGAGACCAAATATCCTGACTCAGAAATCTCACAGAAGTTCTGTAACACAGCCACGGGAAGTTCATTAAATTCAGCTTCTCCTAAGGAATAACAAGCCTTTTCTTCTTCTTCTGTGGTTTCTGAACTTCTTTCATTCCTTTATAGTAGGTGCCTCCTGTTGCCTATTCCTCCATCTCTTGACTCAACAGTTCCTGTACCAGGAGGCCACCAGGCTTTAGGTGCCCACGTTCTCCCAACCCAACCCACGCTCACTCCAGCAGACCTGGCCATCAGCCCTCCTATTATTCTGCTTCTCCAAGTGCCAGAAGCTCCCCACAGCTGGTTGTATACACCTGGTGTACACCAACAGTGAAACCCTCCTTAGCACCTTCAGTTTGGGGCACAGCAGGAAGCACCTACATTTTTCTTCCTGACTGGGACCTT